GACCCCAGCAAGGTGTACATCTAGCCTCCTCTTAAAGACCCCCAGGGTAGGAGCCAGCACCACTTCTCTTGGAAATTGGCTCCAGATCCTAGCTGCCCTGACAGTGAAGTAGTGCCTCCTGATATCTATCCTGAATCTACCCTCTGCCAGCTTGTGACTGTTATTTCTAGTTACTCCTGGTAGCTCTTGGGGGAATAGGGACTCCCCCAATGCCTGCTTGTCCCCCCCTGACTAGTTTGTAAACGGCAACTAGATCCCCCCTCAGACTTCTTTTGTGGAGGCTGAACAGGTTCAGGTCCCTTAGCTTCTCCTCATAGGGCCTGCTCTGCTGCCCCCTGATCATGTGGGTGGCCCTCCTCTGGACCCTCTCCATGTTGTCCACATCCCTCTTGAAGTGCAGCGCCCAGAACTGGACGCAGTACTCTAACTGTGCCCCTGTATCTAATTTAAAAGTTACCATTAGTTCATTGGTGTTCAGGGTGATTGTCCAACACTCAGAAGAATTAACTTCTTGCATTGTGCCAGTGAGGAATTCTTCCTCTTCCTCATCGGATAGACCATGCACCTGCTGTTTCTGGTGTGATGCATCCTACTTCTTTCTGCAAACTCTTGCAAAGTGATTGAATCTTTTGCATTTGTTGCAGTGTTTACCAACTGCAGCGCATTGCATGGGTTTGGGCTAACCCCCACAGCATCTGCAGCTGACCATTGTTTCTTCAAGCAATTCTCTTTGGCCTCCACTTGCCTGCTTCATAGTGAAGTCCTCCTTTCTGTATCGTTTGTATGTTGCCTTAGGTTTTTGTAGTCTTGTAATCCTGTCTAGTTCAGCTTGTTCTGTTTTTTTCCTCCAGCTTCTGCACCCTGGCATTTGGTATCTCAGCCACTTGGCACATTCTAACTGCCTTTTCCAAATTAAGCTCAGGATCCTCCAGCAGTCTTTTCCTGAGGCTTGTATCCCTTACATCTACTACTATTTGGTCTCTGATCATGGACTCTTTTAGTTCTCCAAAGCTGCACATCTGGCTCAGCAGTCTGAGATCTTTGACAGACTCCTCTATCATCTCACATTCTTTCTGCTGTCTCGTGGAAGTTGTACCATTCAAAGGTTTCATTTTGTTTAGGTATACAATATTCCTCAAACTTTTTTACTACTGTGCCATAGCTTTTCTGTGCTGTTTCTGACAGTTATAGGCTATTATAAAGAGAGAAAACTTCTGGGCCTGCTATATTTAAAAAAAATAGCTACCTTGAGTGGATCTTCCTTCTCTGTGACTCCACTGACTGCCATATATATGGTGAAGCTCTGCTTAAATTTCTTCCAGTTTTCTGCTGAATTGCTAGACAGCTTTAACTCCTCTGGAATTCTGAGATGCTCCATTTTTCTATCTTTCTCACACCTCACTCCTGGTACCATGTGTTGTTCTCAAAAGACCAAGGACTTAAAGGCGGTGGGGGGGAAAATGGGCCAGTGGTGGAGGGTGAAGCAGGGGTGAGGGGTCAGGCATGGGCATGGGCACAGGCATGGGGAGAAGGGGAAAAGGGGAAGTTTGCAGGTTCCTGCCCCTACCCTGCAATCTCTCCCATGTTCTCCCCAGCTTTGAGCCCCGTCCCCTGGCAAAAAAGCCGTTCCAGCCTGTAGCAGGAAGCAGTTCAGCTCTGGCTTCAGCCCTAAGCCTAGGGTCAAAGCCAGAGCTGAGCTGTCACCTGCCCTGGGCTGATACTTGAATCCAAGATGAAGCTTTTTTTCCTAATGCTGTTTGGGCAAAAAAACTAATCATGGATTTGGGTAAATACAGTAATTAAAGAAAATTCAGTAATTAAAAAAGTCATTAGGTACTTCCCTGCTTTGTTTGATGCTAGAATAGTGCAAACTATCTCAACAGTGTATTAATAAAGCAGTCATAAATCTGATCAATCTTGTTTTATTCTAAAGGCCTGATGATATTGCTACATGGTTAGTTATGTATACAACCTCTGTTTTTCACATGAAAGTACAATTTGAGCATGGAGTCACAATACTTATGCTTTCAAATTAGACATGCCATTGCCTATTCAGTTTTAGGAATCAGCTCATGTATTTCTTATTAGGAGAGCTAAGCATGGAACATCTCAGTACAAAGGAAAGGGCATATGACTCAATCATACAAGTCCTGTCTGATTATATCAGTTTTTGAGAGATTTCTTACTGGCTTGCAGAAAAAATTAGTCACTCAAAACAGAAATATTTCTTAGTCTCCATATATCCTTGAATCATGCTATTAAATGAGTCATTATTAAAGAAAAACAAGAAGCATGTCTCAGGTACCATTATTACAGCGGTTCCCAGGGCAGCACATGCCGTCTCTGTGGCAACGTTTCTTTTTCCTCCTGCAGACCAAACAGGCAGAGGTAGCTTGATGAGGACTATGGCAGTATCTCCCAACTTCACATTCTTTGTCATTGGTGCAAGGGTAGACCTGGTCATGGAAGAAGGAGAATGGTAAAAAATAAGGTATCCACGGATTCCACACCACTTCAGAGACAGAGAAGGAAATCCAGTGTGTAGGTGTGACAGGGAAAAGAAATCATTTATCAGAGCTAAGGAGGGGCAGTGAGTGAAGGGCTGGAGTAGCGGTTTGCTTCTCTACAATTATTTGGAACTGGTATATGGGAAGCATGGCCAGATTCGTAAGATGGAGCAACCCTAAAGTTTTGTCATCTGCTCTTGGAGCTGTGGTGGTTTAAGAGCTCCCTGACTTTCCCACTCATTTCTGCATCAAATGTACCTTGGTGCAAGAGAAAATCTGACCTACTTTTTATACATATATTGGGTATTTGTTGTGTTCTGAGTTATTCATATGAATCAATATACTTTATATACAGTTAACTAATACACAAAAATGCAGTAGCCCAAACTAAAGAGGGAGCAGTTTTGTCTTTGCTGGAAACCCATCCAGATGTAGGTAAAGCTCCCAGAATGTCCTCTGTATTGTAAGGACATTATCCTTATGTAAAATCTGAGCTACATTGTAAAGGGACGTCTTCAATTTCATGGTTCCAAACCTGTGGTGAGTATATGGACAGGATGATTTTTCTCATAAGCTTGCTATCTTTATATTGACTATTCACCTCTTAGTACTAGTTTTTCCTTTGAATTTGTATTACTCTCATTGATATCTACCAGTAGGATTCTTTGAAAGTAAACATCATCTGCACTAATTTTCACATTGATGCCTTCCTTTTATCTCACTGCCCTCCTTATAATATTTGGTCCTTAAATACTCCATCCCACACAATAAAATCTCCATTACCCTTAACAGTGAATGTTATATGGCATAAACACTAGATTGAAAGGGATCTCAAGGCTTATTTAGTCCAACCTCTTATACACATGCAGGATTTGCCATTCTTAAGCCATCCTAGACAGATACAGAAGCCTATACAAAATCTTCTTGGCAACCTCCAATGCAAAGCAGAAACAAAAGATAGTTTCTTTAATCTCCTCTACCTCTTCTCTCTCTCTCTGCATAGCTATCCTACCTGCTACTAAGGGTTGCTCATTTAGTCCCTTATGCATCACAGCCATGATTATCTTTTAGTAGGACTTACTCTTTGACATCTTTTTATGTGGTAATAGCAGAAAATGATTCTAAGGAGAAAAACAGAGTGGTTTCTTTTTTCCAGAAAAGACATAATGCTTCAATGAGATTTACTTAATGACATCATCACATTCCAGGAACTGTGTTGACTCCCAGTAGGTTGTAATTATACATCATTGCTGTATCTGATTACTCCCCTTGAAATTAATTAAATTATTATTAAATTATCCTTTTTATTAAACTAGAAAATAGGTATTGTTGTTGCATCTTACATTAATTAACACAAGACTCTCCGTATGTGTACTTAAAATAGTATTAGAAGTTTAATTCAGTTTCTATTTTTATTTTTTTGGGGAGGTGGGGATTTGAGATATTAATATGCCTTTCAATACCTGGACTTGGAAGGAAAAAAATGTGAAACTACTGTTAGGATAGTGCCACCTTCTGAAGGGGTTTCTTTGAGGAGTGACTTCCTGGTACAGCTGTGTGGTGTGGCTGATGGCACAAAGGTATTTTAGAGGTACTCACTAAGTAATAAGTGTTTACCATCAGATTTATCCCTAGCACAAACACTATCTCCTGTTTCAGCCATTCTTCCAGTTATTATTAGTTGTGCAGTATCATTATGGTAGCACCTAACATAATTGGGATTGGGGCCCAATTGTGCTGGGCCCAAACATAGGAAAGGAGATTTTATCCAGACACTTCCTGATTATAATGAGTTTGGATAATTCTAATGCTACTACTAGCAGAGACACAGATAAATATAAACCAGATGAACCAGGTTTTCCCAGAGAAAGCATTTTGGACCCTGAGCTATTTGCCAGCTCCCCATGACCATATTTTTTTTACTACAGGCATGTGGTATACACCTGTGATTTGTTCACAAGAAGCCTGGTTGCAGTTTTCCTTTAATCCCTTTAATAACTTAAATAAATAAAGTCTCTGCTCCTGCAGAGAACTGATAAATGCCCTACCATTCACATGTAACCTCAATTTCTGTTATTTAACATCTGCTTGCCTAAATCAGCTGAGCTATACATATAGATGGGGGCATCTTACAGATACTACAGTGATCAAATAAAGAAATTTTAGCCTTAAAATCCCCTGTGAAATCTAGCTAGGTTTGCTGTGATGAAATTTAGTCTTCTGATAGTTACTCAGTTGTTTACGGAAAATGACTGCTTACCATATCATCTATATAACACCCTAGGCATCAATCACACCAGGAAAGCCCATGATTGAACATACATAATGCTCACTCCAGAATGAGATAGTTATGCTGCTCAGAGGACATAGAGGGAGGTTTCAATGAAAAGACTGGCCAGCTGCCCTTGTCTCCTTCTCTCTTGACCCCTCTTATGACCCTGTAAGTTATGCCTGCTTCCTGTAGCCCATACTTTGGTCTCTTGCAATCTGTTGAGTTCTGCATTCTGTGATCCTGCCCACATCAGAGGGGGAGGGCCTGTTGTTTAGATGCACCAATCCAGGATTCAAATTTCCTGGCATTTTGAAGGAAAAACGAGACTTATTGGTTACAACAGTTTCTATTCATGTAACTGTCTTCTAATCAAGTAACTCCTTGACCCAACAAAGCCTGTTTCCCAATTAAATAAATAGCTCCCCACATAACCTGTATTAAAAAGGCCATTTTAATGCAGCATATTAACATGCTGTAATAATCATGTGGCTTTTTTTGATCAACTTAATTAACCCGCTGTTTTGATTCCTAATTCCTAGTAGCTGCTCCATAAATTGACACTGCTGTTTTGTGGGGAATGGAGGAGGTGCTTTGGTTGACTGGAATTTTTTTGTGATTTAAAGGTTGGTATGTATTCCATCAGGAATCAAGTTAACTCCTGCTAATTTCAATAGATCTGCCTCATGGTTTCTGAGCACTAGAACTGTAATTGCCCACAGGTCTTCTATGAGGGTAGCAGAGAAAGATAGAAAGATCCTTTATGTCCACTATCCTACTCAGGGACAAGGAAGAATCTATCCCTTGGTATTTACCTGCTTCAGTATTTGTAGACAGGTTTAATAATTGCTTAGTCTAGCTATAAACACTTTTAAAATTCCTCTCTAAATCAATCTCTCTATTAAGGAGTGTCATAATTCTGTTTGGCAAAACACCATGAAATGTAAGTATTCTTCAGTAGTTATTCCAGTCCCTTTGATCTACAGTTTCTCTAGGGTGCCCTTGGGAACTAACAGATTTTCTTGTGTGATTTCTGTTTTGGTGCTCCTTGTTTCAGTTTACATGAAGACAGCACTAACAGATGAAAAATGTGCTCAAAAATGCATTTTCATTAAGAAATTAACAAAAAAATGTGTATCTTAATAAGTTTTCATGTTTCGTTTGAATCAAGTTCCAAGCAAAAATCTTTTATTTTTGTGTTTCTCTTTTTTGTTTCTTTAAAATAATGGAAAATACCAGGAGAGAGGGGAGAGGGGGAGGAAAGAATACAGCCTCTACTTCAGCTTTCGGTTTCCTGGCTTTTGTTGATTTGTGTCAATTCATGACCGTAACAATTTTTATGGACAGAGGTTTGTCTTTATCATAACAATCTGCCTGTGGATCCTGGTTTTAAGTAAGCCAGCTGTTTTCCAGTGGTGTGTAAGCCCAGTGGGAATAATTTAACTTCTAAGCTACAGTTTTTTACCATGCTTTGATATATCCCATTCTCAGCAGTGCCTGAATCTGTTTAGAAATAAAGCTTTAAAATACCAAAATAAAAGTGTAGAAAAATACTTGCTTTTACGTAATAATAAATGAATGGATCTGCTGTAGTATCATGCAAGAGGCAAGGAATGTGGTGGGTGATGTCTTTTATTTAACCAACTGCATAGCAGGGATAGACTTAGACAAGTTTTTGAATGCAACATATTTCACTTCAGGTCTGAGGAAAAGGTTGGCAGAGCAAAAGATTAAAAACAGTGGAAGATATAAAGGTTGAACCTGATTTAAGCATTTAAATGTATTGAGTTTAACTAATGTCTACAATATTGGTACCTGGGGCTAATTTACTGAGGGCCTTGTTACATCCAATACTATGAGCTGCACAGATGTTGATGGGTGTCAGCAGTAGCTCAAGTTTGGAGCAGTTGCACTTCAGGCCAGAAGAGGCCTGGAGGACTGAAAGGCCCCTTGGCCCTTGGGCTCTGCCGTCTTGTGGCTTCCTACACTGTCTGTCGAGGGAAGAAGGAAGGGAAGGGCTAGCCTGCCTTCCCAGATGCTGCTGCTGCTCTTCTCTGGGCTGAGCCCACCTAGAGAACACCAGTAGCGGTGGCAGCCGGGCAAGCAGGTTAAACCCTTCCCTGCCTGCTCCCCCAGGACAAACAGGATGGGCAGCCACAAGTAAGCAGGGCAGGGGGCAGTGAGTGAGGTCCTGGGAAGGATGGGGGGAGGGCAGTGGGCCTGATCTAGGCCAGCAAAGGAGGAGGAGGGATGGGTGAGGTGTTTAAACTAAAGTATAATGTAGAGTGTTAAGACAATCCAGATGTTAAGAGCTCCAGGAGCCGCCCAAAATTACCATGTCACAAGGTTCCATCTAATACCATCTAATGAACGAATAGTGAAGAGATGATCTGTCTTTATTGGCCCTTGTATGAGTATGCAACAGGCAGGATTTCAGGAGCCATCCACCCTAGACAAGGAAGAGGTACTTGGGGAACTTGCACTTGGGGAACTGCAGAGACAATGTGCTCCAGGCATCACAGGGGTATGAAGTAAACAAAATTTACATGGAAGAAGCCAGGCTATAATTCACTCTTCAAGCCATGCTCCCAGACTCCACCCAGCAGGAATGGCCAGCTGTAACACTCACATGTGGATAAACTTAACTGATGCTCTCAGTTCTAAGCAGACACAGTGTGTG